GACCAGCCGGTGCATCGCGGCGTTCATGGCCAGCGCCTCGGCCGCGCTGAGGTCGTCCCCGGGCAGGCCGTCGACGTGGCCGCCCTGCGCCGCCGCGGCCGCCGCCGCCGCGGGCTCCAGCGGGCTGCCCGGCCGCCCCGGCAGCGGGGAGAGCGCCTCGCCCTGAGCCGGGGGCGCGCCAAAGCCGGGCCCGCGCCGGCGAGCGAGGCCCTCGAGTCTCGAGGGTCGAGGTGTTCGATCGAGGTCCGAGGTGCCCGGAGACCCAACGCACTGACAGCGATCGAGGCGGAGGTTTGTCGCCGTCTTCGGCCTCCGGGGGCCCTCGCCGGGCCCCGGGGCCGTCGAACAACGACTCGGGACAAAAAAGCGGTCCCGGGGAACGGGGTCGAGACTTCTGGGGGCCCCGTTTTGAAACAAATCGCGACACATTGGATCTCTAGGCACGTACGTTCGAGGTGCCCGAGGCCCCCTCGGGCCCCTCGAATACATCCTTGCCTTCCCAGCGGCTGCGCCTCGCCGAGAGGCGTCCCGAAGGGCCCAGACCGTCGGGGAGCCGAGCTCGTCCCGTTTCCCACCACCACCACCACCATAAGTTGGAGCGTGGAAGGAGGTGGAGGATGAGGAGGTGGACGAAGAGGAGGAGGAGGAGGAGGAGGAGGAGGAGGAGGAGGAAGAGGACCCCCCTCCCCTCCTACTTATGGTGGTGGCGGTGGAAAACAAGCCGGCGGGTGCCCAGATCGTCCCGAGGGGCCGCCGGGGAGCCGAGCTCTGACCTGGAAGCCTTAGGGGGCTGGGCCGCCGCTGAGATGCTGGCGTCGCCTTCTCTTCGCGACAGGGGCGACTCGGCTCATGTCGGGCGTGTCCCCCTACAGGGGGATGTTCGACGATTCTTTGTTTTATACTCCAAAACTGCCCCCAAAAGGTCAAGAAGTACTCAAACAAATAGTCCCCAGACTATTTGTAGATTATTTTGGGGATATTTTTGGAGCATGTTTTATTTTTCGTCGAAAATCCCCCTGTAGGGGGACAGGCCCGACTGAAGACTTGGCCAGGGCTCTGGTTTTCGGGCCCCGAGGCCTTCGCGGATCGATCCGGCTCGAAAAGGGCTGCAGAATGTTGGGGGCGGACGGGGCCAGGACGAGGAGAAATCCGTTCCAGAGCGTTGCGGAGCGTTCCGGAACGCTCTGAGAAGGCCGTGTCGCCGGATTTCAGAGATTCCCGATTTATCCTCACCCGAATCTATCCTCGTCCTGGCTTCGTCTTATATGGGGCCCCCAGGGCTCCAGTACGAGGAGAAATCTTTTCCAGAGCGTTCTGGAGCGTTCTGGAGACTTTCGGTTGGGCCAACGCTGAGATCCTGGCGTCGCATTTTTTGGTTTCGCGACGGGCGAGCATGCCCTGTCTTCGGCCACGGGGCCCTCACGGATCGGTCCGACCCGAAAGAGGTTCCGCAGAGAGACGAAGTGCAGGGCTCCGGCCGAGCTTCTTCTGCCGCGTTGCATGTTTCTCTCCCGCCCCTGCAGAGTGCTACAAAAAAAACTCCCCCTCCAGACCTAGAGACCCATCTGGACTGCTCATCAAACCTCCGCAGGATTCTAGATGTCCAGGTCCTGGTGCTATTTGTTTTGGCCCTCGAGGAAGGCCTGGGTGACTTCTCCCCCTCGCTCGCCGCCGATCCCAAGCCCGACCGGAACCCGGGACCCCGTGCGTCGGGGCCAGTCTTCGAGCAGGGTCGAGCCGTGCCGGTCCCCCGGGCCCGCAGGGAGGCACGAGCTGGCCCGCTGCTGGGGCACCCTGCGACGCCGGGATCTCAGGGGAGGGGGGAAGGTCAGGGGCAACGATAGGGGGGGATAGGCATAGGGTTAAGTCGGGCCTGTCCCTCTACAGGATATGTGTATATATATGTATGTATGTAACAATCATTTATGTTAAAAAAAAGTCTGGGGACGATGCGTGACCATTTTGCGGGCATGTTTTAAATCATTTGTCGTCCAAAGTCCGCCTGCAGGGGGACATGCCCGACCCAAGCACAGCGGGGGGTGCTTCGGCCCCCCATCGCCCACCGATCGCCGACAGGGGCCCGATGGCCCCAGCCCGCCCAGGAAGGCCTGGGCCGTGGCGTCGGACCTCCGAGGGTGCCCCGTCTCGCACCCCCGGAGGGGCCGCACAGCAGCTCCCGGACCGAGGTGGGCGCATCCGCAGGGCCGAGCTCCCGCCGCTCTCGTCGCACTGGAGGACCACATCGTGAGCGCGTCTTTTACTCGGCGTTGCGACATTGGGCGGAAGTGCGGGCAATAATGACATCCATATCCAATGCGTATTGGACTTTCTTGGAAGGGGCGCCGCAAGGCCGAGGCGCACTGGATATGGATAAAATGTAGCCTTTGGGGGGCCAGATTTTAATCCATATCTAGTGCGCCTCACGTTTTTGGGGAAGAGAGCCCGAAACTCCAAGACGCACTGGGTGTGGATATAGACATTGCCCGCAGGAAGGGGGGTCGAGGGGGGGGGAGTCTGGCTCCGGACCTCTGCGTAAAGCGGCTGCTCGGAACCGTGCGTCCGATGGGGGAGGCTCCACCTGCCTCGAAGCAGGCGCCAACAGACAGCCAAGATCCCCTCCACGGGGGGGGGGAGGGAGATGATGATGATGATGATGATGATGATGATGGATGCACCTTTCTTGCTGAAGCTCCGGGGCTTCGGGACACGGGTATGTTTGGCCCCCTGGGACTCTGCAAACCCAGGAGTGGCCTCGCGTGCTAAGCGCTCTGGGCCAAGATGCTTACGGAAATGCTACTATACATGCGTGAAAATAAATTGCACGAAGTGTCGCAACACCCCTCTGGGTCTCTGCCATGCAGGAAAATGTCACGAAATCGTCGTAACGCTTCCTCTCTGCTGCTACGCAGTGAAAGAGAATGTTAAAGAGAATCTGCCGCCGTCCTACCCCAACCAACCTCCTATGATCGGACAAAAATCCTTTGGATTCTCACCGTAATCAGCGTTGAAGGACCGAAGCTTTGTCACAAGGCGGACATCACCCAGTCGCCACGAGAGCCGAATTGTAAAATTGACGCTGCTCTCCCATTTCTTGTTCAGGAGATGCAGCTCGCGATTCAATTGCGCATTGGCCCATTGGTGGAAAAATGGAAGCACAAGGAAGACTACTCTCCCCTGGGGCCCATCCTCCCTGGGCACACGAAGGAGTTGAGAAGGCCGCTGCTGAATAGCATTCCATATGGCATCGATGATGCGAGACGAAGTTCCACTCCGCCTAAGTTTGCTAATGAAAATGTTTGCTTGCTGTCTGGCGAGGAGGGGAGAGCTGCATAGCCTACCGTACCGCAACGCCATAGCCACAGGCCACGCGCGGTGCACTGAGGGAGGGTGGTGAGATAGCTCTGAAAGAGGAACCCATTGGCTCGTCACCTTCTCGTGCACACTGTGGCAAAAGCTGGTTGTGTTATCAGTCCTGGATTTCTTGAAAAGGTGCACATCAAGAAATGTTGCTTCATGATGGGATAGTCGCTCCAACTCGAGGGCGAAAGGTCCGGCACGCAGGCTGAGCATCGTGAAGAACCTGTCGCACTGCTGGTTCGGGCCGTCGAAGAAAGCGATAATGTCGTCTTTGAACCTGAAGTAGCATCGAAGCCCAACAGAACGGAAGAACGCAGCATCGTTGATCCACGGTTCTTCCGCAAGCTGAAAGAATGTGCTGTCAGATACTTCTCCACTGCAAATCATCCCCATGCCGCTGCCATGCAATACTTTCCAAAGGTGTTCTGGTATTCCTGGGAGCTCGACGCATTGGTGCCCAAGGATGAAATTCAACACCCTAGTGAACCTTCGCTGCTGCCCACCGTGGAAAAACTTGCTGGACTGCTCGCGAAGGACGCTGTGGGTTCCGCTCATGTAGTACTCTTTGATGTCTATCTTCATGATGGTAACGGCTTGGGAAAAGATTTCACGGGATAAGCGAGAGACGAATACCGAAGAGTCCTTTACTAAATGAGGCAACTGGTCTAGATGCCCCCGAAGCTCGCCGGCCAAGAACCGCATCGCAGGAGCGATAATGCTGCGAGGCTGCATGGCGTGAAGCAGGCGGATGGTGCATTTTGTCTGGGGCTTGTGTGTCTTTGCTGTCGCCGCTACTTTGAAAGTAATGCCCCTCTTGCTACCTTTTCCACTTACAAGCGCCCTGAATAAGTGCGGGTCGAATTCGTTGTCCATGTCATTTGCTGCCTCTTTACACATTGACACGTGCTGGTCGCACACGTCCTCCGTAAGAACGTCTGGATCCTCGTGAACTCTCTCGTACTTGTTTTGATTGCCCAAAGCCTGAATGTATGCAATTTGCAACCGCCCTTTGTGCATCAGTGCGAATCCACCGTCCTTGTCTGCGGGGAGGCACCCCCACAAGCCTCCACGAAGAGTTGTTGAAGCGGTGGACACAATGAGGGGCAACCGAGGGCTTGCGCCGCAACGACAACGAGATTTGATGCAAGCTTGCCACAGCTTTGAGCGCACGTCGGAGATGTACGTGTTGACAGGCTCGGGAATCTCATCTCGAAAAGGCATCGTTGTCGGGCCGCGATCTATAATGTGCTGCCATGCCTGTCGAGACTGGTCGTTCCCAAAGTACTGTCGCCAAGCAACTTTGTTTAACAAATTCTGAATTCCCAAATTTACTGGTTGGATCGACGGTCTCCGCCGGTATCCAAAAATATGCTTACGATGATGACGCAATAGGTATTCTACTGCCCAATCGATCTGCCCCTTGTTGGGCACGGCGGTGACCTTGCGCAATGGGTCGAACAGATATATGCCTGGCCGGCCCAATCCACATTCCAGCACTCGGCTTATTTCCGTCTTGGTGAGGTCGCGAAGAAGGGATGCGAAATGATTCATGATGCACTTATTGTGAGAACAATTGGGAGGACAAGATGCGAGATGAGCGCCTGCTGCGTGCTCTTTGGCCCGCCGAGCGCTGGCCTTGATTCTCACCAACCTTTCCCATTTCCGCCGCGCCCTCGGCCCCTGGCCGACGGGCGCGATCTGTCGTAACGCTTGTTGGGGTTCTGTCCCTTCGAGCTGTCGCCACCTTCGCCGTACTTCCCAACCTTGCCACCCTTGCCTTTCGAGGTGGCTCTTCCCTTGGACTTGCCCTTGGACGTGTCCTTTCCTTTGCCTTTGCCCTTGCTGTCCTTGCCCTTGCCTTTCGGATCCGACGATCTGCCGCGGCCCCTGCCCCTGCCCCCGCTCTTGGCGGGGGACTGGCCGTTTTTTGGCCCGCTGGCAGGAGCGTTGGCAGGGAGGTCAGCAAGGACCACGTCCTCAGAGAGGCCACCTTCGCACTGCTGCTGGTACCACGACGCCGGAACGGTCAGCGACTTCTTGCGGGCCGCGTTGGCAGAACGTTTGGCCTTGTCGATCCTGGCGTCGATGACCATGTCGAGCAGCTCTGCCGGGGGCTTTTGACTCACAGTCTCAGCGATCTTCTTCTTCTTTGCGGCCTCTTTGTTTGCCGCGTCCATCTTTTTCTGCTTTCGATGGGCCGCTTGATCGACAACCTTCCTGTAGATGATCGCCAGACGCGGCTTGATGGTCTCAGGGTCCACTCGAATCTCGTCGTCCTCTGCCAGCCCCAAGAACGGGAAGGGCGACGTTCTTGCAAGCTCGACAGACATGCACTCCTGGTAGAACGCATCACGAGACGTCTTAAGTAGAAGATCTTCACGCTGCCGCTGGAGTACTTCCAAATCCAATTTTTTCTGGTATGCCAAGGTCGCTCCGTAGATCTTGGATTTGGCGTCCCTGATTGACATATCAGATATATCAATGTGAAGCGATTCGTCCAAACTGGTGCGCATCGTGTCGAGAAATGGGCTTTCATACGAAAGTGTGAATGGACGAACGCCTGGAGGGAATGTACCTTGATCCAGACTGTTTCTTTGCTCTGTGTATGAATTCTGCCTATCTATCAGCTTCTGAAGGCTGTCGATGTAGGCGCTCAGGGAGTTGCATGTCTTTTTAATTTGCGCCTGGACTTCAGGGCTGACGTAGCCTCGAAGCTGTTGTTCGATGACGTTGGCCAGCTGGTCCTGGCTCGGGTCAGTCGCCGGCCTGGTGCCCTGCTGAGGAACGAGCGTTGCCTCAGCTGGTGCTGCTGGTGGTGACGGAAGCTCAGCAGCCCGCAAGAGACGAGGAGAACGTTCGCGTTGAACTTGGGGCTCAGCTCCTGGGTGCAATGACCGTCGGCCTGCACCTCGACTCCCTGCATCATCACCCATGCCGTCAAGAAGAGTGTGTAATTGAGAAATCCGAAGATGATGGATGCACCTTTCTTGCTGAAGCTCCGGGGCTTCGGGACACGGGTATGTTTGGCCCCCTGGGACTCTGCAAACCCAGGAGTGGCCTCGCGTGCTAAGCGCTCTGGGCCAAGATGCTTACGGAAATGCTACTATACATGCGTGAAAATAAATTGCACGAAGTGTCGCAACACCCCTCTGGGTCTCTGCCATGCAGGAAAATGTCACGAAATCGTCGTAACGCTTCCTCTCTGCTGCTACGCAGTGAAAGAGAATGTTAAAGAGAATGTTAAAGAGAATGTTAAAGAGAATGTTAAAGAGAATGTTAAAGAGAATGTTAAAGAGAATGTTAAAGAGAATGGTAAAGAGAATGGTAAAGAGAATGGTAAAGAGAATGGTAAAGAGAATGGTACAGAGAATGTTAAAGAGAATGTTAAAGAGAATGTTAAAGAGAATGTTAAAGAGAATGTTAAAGAGAATGTTAAAGAGAATGTCAAAGAGAATGTTAAAGAGAATGTTTAAAGAGAATGTTTAAAGAGAATGTAAAGAGAATGTTAACAGAGAAAGAGAATGTAAAAGAGAATGTTAAAGAAATGTTAAAGAGAATGTTAAAGAGAATGTTAAAGAGAATGTTAAAGAGAATGTTAAAGAGAAATGTTTTAAAAGAAATGATAAAAGAGGAATGTAAAAGAGAAAGTTAAAGAGAATGTTAAAGAGAAAGTTAAAGAGAATGTTTAAAGAGACCTGTTAAAGAGACTGTTAATACGAGACTGCTGTTTTAAAAGAGAATGTTTAAAAGAATGTAAAAGAGCATGTTAAAGAGAATGTTAAAGAGAATGTTTAAGAGAAAATGTTAAGAGAATGTTAAGAGAATGTTAAAGAGAATGTTAAAGGAGAATGTTAAAGAGAATGTTAAGAGAATGTTAAAGAGAATGTTAAAGGGAATGTTAAAGGGAATGTTAAAGGGAATGTTAAAGGGAATGTTAAAGGGAATGTTAAAGGGAATGTTAAAGGGAATGTTAAAGGGAATGTTAAAGAGAATGTTAAAGGGAATGTTAAAGGGAATGTTAAAGAGAATGTTAAAGAGAATGTTAAAGAGAATGTTAAAGAGAATGTTAAAGAGAATGTTAAAGAGAATGTTAAAGAGAATGTTAAAGAGAATGTTAAAGAGAATGTTAAAGAGAATGTTAAAGAGAATGTTAAAGAGAATGTTAAAGAGAATGTTAGAGAGAATGTTAAAGAGAATGTTAAAGAGAATGTTAAAGAGAATGTTAAAGAGAATGTTAAAGAGAATGTTAAAGAGAATGTTAAAGAGAATGTTAAAGAGAATGTTAAAGAGAATGTTAAAGAGAATGTTAAAGAGAATGTTAAGAGAATGTTAAAGAGAATGTTTAAGAGAATGTTAAAGAGAATGTTAAAGAGAATGTTAAAGAGAATGTTAAAGAGAATGTTAAAGAGAATGTTAAAGAGAATGTTAAAGAGAATGTTAAAGAGAATGTTAAAGAGAATGTTAAAGAGAATGTTAAAGAGAATGTTAAAGAGAATGTTAAAGAGAATGTTAAAGAGAATGTTAAAGAGAATGTTAAAGAGAATGTTAAAGAGAATGTTAAAGAGAATGTTAAAGAGAATGTTAAAGAGAATGTTAAAGAGAATGTTAAAGAGAATGTTAAAGAGAATGTTAAAGAGAATGTTAAAGAGAATGTTGAAGAGAATGTTAAAGAGAATGTTAAAGAGAAGTTAAAAGAGAATGTTAAAGAGAATGTTAAAGA